AAAAAAAAAAAAAAAAAAAAGAGAGAGAATGGAATTCAAATTAATTAACCTCAGCCTCCTGAGTCCTGGGATTACAGGGGCCTGCAACCATGCCTGGCTAATTTTTTTGTATTTTTAGTAGAGATATCTGATTTATTAAGAGTCTATGGCCGGGGGCAGGGGCTCACGCCTGTAATCCCAGAATTTTGGGAGGCTGAGGAGGGTGGATCATTTGAGATCAGGAGTTTCAGACCAGCCTGGCCAAATGGTAAAACCCTGTCTCTACTAAAAACACAAAAATTAGTTGGGTGTGGTGATGCACGCCTGTAATCCCAGCTACTTGGGAGGTGGAGGCAGGATAATAGGTTGAACCTGGGAGGTGGAGGTTGCAGTGAGTTGATATTGTACCACTGCAATCCAGTCTGGGTGACAGAGCAAGACTCTGTCTCACAAATAAAACAAAACAAAACAAAACAAAACAGGAGTTGTGCTTTTGAGCCCGAGGTGTGCCTATCACGAGAGGCCAGGAGTTTAACAGCCTGGCCAGCACCGTGAAACCCTGTCTCTACTAAAAATAAAAAAAAATCACTGGTGGTGGTGTTTCGTGCCTGTAATCCCACCTATTTGGGAGACTAAGGCATGAGGACTGCTTGAATCTGGGAGGCGGAGGTTGCAATGGGCTGAGATTGTGCACTCCAACCTAGGCAAGAGTAAGACTCTGTCTCAAAAAAATAAAGAAAAAAAGAAAGGTGGGGGTGGAGGTGCTTTTTTCAGAGGCTAGGAGAGTCATGTTCCTAGAAGTCAAGACCTGGATTACTTAAGAGAATAGGGCTTATCCTACAAGCCACAGGGGAGAAAAGAACAGTTTATTTGTTATTTTTTTAAAAAAGAAATAAAAATCTCTGGATAGAGGAAGGACCTTAGAGTATACTCAAATGGAACAATGAGATAATTTTGACACTAGTGTAAAGGCCTGCTCCCTTAGGTTTAAAATCCTGTTAGGGAAGCTATAAAAACTCCCAAGATAGATTTGGGAGTTTGGATATAGAAGTGGTTTATGTTGAAAGCAGTGGAGAATTAACAAGTTATACCTGGCCAGGTGTGGTGGCTCATTCCTGTAGTCCCAGCACTTTGGAAGGCTGAGGCGGGAAGATCTCTTGAGCCCAGGAATTCAAGACCAGCCTAGGCAACTTGGTGAAACCTCACCACTACAAAAAAAAAAAAAAACCACCAGAAATGTTATACCCACTCCCACCTCCACTAAGACAACATGGAAGGTCGCTGATAATTGAAGATATTTATGGAACACTTCGTTCACCAAAAACAGAATACACATTCTTCCCAGGCTCATATGATACATTCCCTAAGACCACATTCTGGGTCATAAAATAAATACAGCTTAGCAAAATTTAAAAAATATAAGTCATACAAAGTATGCTCCTAGACCACAATGAAATTATTTCTGAAAAAAAATTTATTAATTATACACTTAAAAATGCTGAAGATAGTAAATCGGATATTTTTATTTCAATTTAAAATATAAAAAATAAATTTCATAAAAAAGTAATTATATTAGAAGTCAGTAACAGAGAGATAGCTGGAAAATCCTAAAATATCTAGAGATGAAACAACATACTTCTAAATAACACATGGATCAGTCAGGCATGGTGGCTCATGCCTGTAATCCCAGAACTTTGGGAGGCCAAGGGGGTGAAACTGCTTGAGCCCAGGAGTTCAAGACCAGGCTGGGCAACACAGGGAGACCCCATATCTACAAAAAAATTAAAAATTAGCTGAGCATGATGGTATGTGCCTGTGGTCCCAGCTACTCAGGAGGCTGAGAGAAGAGGATCACTCCAGCCTGAGCAACAGAGTGAGACCATCTCAGAAATAATAAACAAACAAATAAATAATGCATGGGTCAAAGAAGTCTCAAGAGAAATTTTAAAGTATTTTGAATTAAATTGAAATGCAACTCATCAAAATTTTGTGAGATGCAGTGAAAGCAATACTTCAATGAAATTTATAGCACTGAATTAACATATTAGGAAAGAACATCTAAAATCAATAATCTTAGCTTCAATTTAGGAAACTAGAGAAAGAAAAGCAATATAAACCTAAAGCAAATAGAAGAAAAGAGATACAAAAATAAAAGCTGGAATCGATAAAACTGAAAATACGAAATCTATTGAGAAAAGCGATGAAAGCAAAGTATGCTTCTTTGGAAAAAATAAATATAATTGATAAACATCTAGACAAAGTAACCAAGAAAAAACTAGAAAAGACATAAATTGCTAATATCAGAAATGAAACAGGGGCCATCACTACTGATCCCATAAATATTAAAACAATAATAAATATTAGGAATACTTCCATGACCACAAATTTGATGAGAAGAAATGGACCAATTCCTAGAAAGGCACAATCTGTTAAAGCTCACACAAAAATAAACAGATCATCTTAGTACAGCCTGTATCTATTTAAAAATTGAATAATTAGTAACTTTCAAAAAAGAAAAGCACCAGGCCTAGATGGAGGTTCACTGGTGAATTCTACCAAACATTTAAGAAGTGACAGCAATTATTTACAATCTCCTTCAGAAAACAGAAACTAAGAGAACATTTCCTAAATCATTCTGTGAAACCAGCATTACCCTAATACTAAAACCTGATAAATAAATTAAAAAACAAACAAACAAAAAACCCGATAAAGACATTACAAGAAAGCAAAACTACAGACCATATCTTTTATGAACATGGATGAAAAAATTGTCAATAAAATATTAGCAAACTGAATCAATATATAAAAAGAATTACACACCATAACCAAGTAGGATTTATTGTAGGTATACAAGGCTGGTTCAGCATTCAAAATCAATTAATCTATTATATCAATAGGCTAAAGAAGAAAAATCATAATAATATCAGTAGATACAGAAAAAGCATTTGACAAAATTGACACATATTCATAATAACACCTCTCAGCAAACTAGCAATAGAGAGGAGCTTGATAAAAAAAAATCAACTTGATAAAAAAAAATCTCTCTATAAAAAAACCTATAGCTAACATCATACTTAATGGTGAGAAACTGCATGCATTCTACTAAGATTGGGAATAAGGGAAGGATGACCCCTTTCAATACTTCTATTCAACTTTGTACTGAAGTCCTAGCTAACATCGTAAGACAAGAAAAGGAAATAAAAGGCAAACAGATTGAGACTGAAGAAACAAAACTATCTTTGCTTAAAGATGACATAATTATCTAGATAGAAAAATCCCAAAGAATAAGCAAAAACAAAAAAGAAAACACCCTTCTGGAACTAAGATGTGATTATAGCAAGGTTGCAGGTTATGGTCATGAAGTTAATATAAAAAAATCAATCACTTTCCTATATACTAGCAATAAACAAGTAAAACTGTGAAATTATAACCATAATACCATTTACATTATTTCCTGTTTATGGTTAGGAAAATTCAATATTGTTAAGATGTCAGTTCTTCCCAACTTGATCTACAGATTCAAGGCAATCACAATCCAAAGCCAAGCAAATTATTTTGTGAACACAAACTGAATCTAAAGTTTATATGGAAATCACAAACCAACACAATACTGAAGAAACATGAAGTTGAAGGACTGACACTATCTGACTTCAAAATTAACTATAAAGCTATAGTAATTAAGACAGTGTGATCTTCGTGTTAAGAGTGGACAAATTTATCAATAAAATAGAATACAGAATCCAGGAACAGACCCACACAAATACAGTCAGTCAAGTGATCTCTGACAAATGGGCAAAGGAAATTTAATGGAGAAAAGATAGTCTTTTCAACAAATGGTGCTGCAACAATTAGACATCCACATTAAAAAAAAAAAAAAAAAAGGATTCTAGACACAGACCTTACTCCTTACACAAAAATTGACTCAGAATGAATCATATACTAAAACGTAAAATGCAAAGTTATAAAACTCCCAGGCTGGAATGCAGTGCACCATCTCAACTCTGCAACCCAACCTCTGCCTCCCAGGTTCAAGCGATCCTCCTACCTCAGCCTCCTGGGTAGCTAGGGCAACAAGTGCAGACCACAACACTCAGCTAATTTTTTGTATTTTGGGTACAGATGGGGTTTTGCCATATTGCCCAGACTGGTCTTGAACTCCTGAGCTCAAGCAATCCGCCTGCTTCGGCCTTCCAAGTGCTGCGATTACAGGCATGAGCCATCACGCCTGGCCAAAGAGACAATACCAAAATCATGTTCCATGAAAGAAATAATAAGTTGAACTTCAATAACATTTTAAAAATCGGCTCTGTCAAAGACACTGTTAAGAGAATGAAAGGACAAGCAATAGACTGAGAGAAAATATTTTGAAAATACATACATGATAAAAGATTTGTAACTAAAATACACAAAGAACTCTTAAAACTCAATAAGAAAACAATCCAATTTTAAAAGGGGCAAAAGATCTGACCAGACATCTTACCAAAAACATACAGATGGCAAATATGCACATGAAAACATTCTCAATATCATATGACATTAGAGAATTGCAAAATGAGGCTGGGCGAGGTGGCTCACACCTGTAATCACAGCACTTTGGGAGGCTGAGACAGGTAGATCATGAGGTCAGGAGATCAAGACCATTCTGGCTAACATGGTAAAACCCCTTCTCTACTAAAAAAAACAAAAAATTAGCCAGGCATGGTGGCACTTGCCTGTAGTCCCAGCTACTCAGGAGGCTGAGGCAGGAGAATCACTTGAACCCAGGAGCCGGAGGTTGCAGTGAGCCAAGATTGCGCCACTGCACTGCAGCCTGGGCGACAGAGCAACACTCCATCTCAAAAAACAAAACAAAACAAAACAAAAGATATCTATTAAAATGTCTAAAACACAAAACACTGACAATACTAAAAGCTGGCTAGAATGTGGAGCATTAGGAACTCTAATCCACTGAACAATGGTATAGCCACTTTGGAAGACAGTTTAGCAGTTTACAATGTTAAACATAGGCTTACCATATGATCCAGCAATCATGCCCTAGGTATTTACTCAAAAACTTATGTACACATAAAACCTGTATACAAATGCTGATAGCAGCTTTATTCATAATGGCCAAACACTGGAAAATGCCCTTCAGTTGGCAAGATTTGCTTTCAGAGGTGAGTGGATAAACATACTGTGGTACATCCAGAGTAAAATGTAATTCAGTGATAAAAAGAAATGATAAAAAAAAAAGACATGGAGGAAGCTTAAATGCATATTGTCAACTAAAAGAAGACAGCTTGAAAAGGTTATATACTGTATGCTAAATATATGTCATTTAGAAAACACAAAACTATAGAGAAAGTCAGGGGTTTGGAGAGAAAGAGGGCGAGATAAATAGGTGGAACACAAGGGATTTTTAGGGCAGTGAAACTATTCTGTACAACAAGGCAATGGTGGCTACATGACATTATACATTTGTAAAAACTCATACAACTATATAACACAAAGAGTGAGCCCTAAACTGTGGACTTCAGTTTATAATAATGTATCAGTACTGGTTTATCAATTGTAACAAATCCACCACATTAATGAGATATGCTAATAATAGGATAAATCTTCCCTGGAGGTAGAGGAGATACATGGGAACACTGTAAAACCAGCTCAATTTTTCTTTTCTTTTCTTTTCTTTTTTTTGAGACAGAGTCTCATTTTGGTACCCAGGCTGGAATGCAATGGTGCAATCATAGCTCACTGTAACCTCAAACTCCTATGCTCCAGTAATCCTCCTGCCTCAGCCTCCTTGAGTAGCTAGGACCACAGGCACATGCTACCATGCCTGGCGAATTTTTTAAGTTTTTGTAGAGACAGGGTCTTGTTATGTTTCCCAAGCTAGTCTCAAACTCCTGGCCTCAAGTAATCCATCGACTTCAGCCTCCTGAAGTGCTGGAATTATAGGTGTGAGTCACCACGCCTAGCCTTGGAATAGTTTTTCATCCAGGAATCCTGAGATGGGGTGTCTGAGAATGGGGGAAAAAATCTCTTTATTAAAAAATAGTCATCCTAGAAACTGGATGATATTCAGAGAACTAGAAGAAAAAGGAGAAAAGGTGGCCTATGTGTTAATATGAGAAAATGGAATATTATTAAATATGAAGCAAAATTAAGGATTGTTAGTCAAAAACTTCCCTATCTGTACACATAAAAATGGAAAATAGAGCTCGGGCCTGCCTTTTATATAGGATCACTGTTACTATAATGGAGAGTCAACAGGTGACCTGGATTCTTTTGTGACTGTCAGCACTTACTCAGTGCCAAAGGGAATTTTGACTCCATGGCACTGTCTTTGACATCAAGCCTATAAATACCTCAAACAAATTTAAACATATGGGTTACAGCATATCTTGAAATCAGGTTTCAGAGCAGAACAGAACCCAGAGAACACATGCCCCATATATGGCTGCTTTCCAAATATGTAGAAATGTTTATTGTGGTTGACAATAAGTAGTTACAAATGGAATAATATAATGTGACCAACATTACACAGATGGTAACAGATGTCCACACGCTGGCCAAGTGGTACAATAGGGAGCTAAATAGTACTTGCTGGTTAGATATATGGACTAGTTAGAAGATATAGACAGAAAGAAAGCTAGTGCAAACGTCCCTGAATCTGCAGAAAACATTTCAAATTTTTAACTGCTGGAGAGACCGGCTGGATCCCTCTGAGAAAGGTGAAACATGTTGTTACTCATATGATCATTGGTCGAAATCCTGGAAAGTACCAGGGCTATGCATTTCTCAGTGGTATCTGTAGAGCTACGAATACAGTGAGTGTTGAATCTTTCTTTCATGAAGATAAAGCCCACTTTGCAGCTCTCATGGCTCATGAGCTTGGCCACAACTTGGAAACGAAACATGACTACATGGCCTAAAAGTGTAATGGCCAGAACCTCTGTACCTGTACTATGCATTAATTTATTACTATAGATATGGGCTTCAGCAACTGAAGCTTCCACTGCTTCCATTCATTTTTGCATAGGCTCAGAGAGGACTGCCTGTTTAATAAACTTGAGCACCAAAGCTCCTTTGGAAAGCCATATTGTGGGAAATAGATAGTGATGAAGGAGAAGAATGCAAGTGTGGCAATGTTCTTCATTGTGAAAGGGATCACTGTTGTCTGCCCTCACAATGGCTGAAGAAGGGTTCAGATTGTGCATTTGGATTCTGTTGTAGACACTGCAAATTTCTAAAAGCAACCACACCCTGCTGCTTCAGTGTAGGTGAATACGACCTCTGAGAGCACTTTGATGGCACCTCTGAGTGGTGCCACACAGATATATACAAGCATAGTAGCCCTTGCAAAGAACAAGGTTATTGTTACCAGGGCCAGTGCAGAAGCCTAGAGAATCAGTGCATTAAAATCTCTGGAAAGGGCACACGAGCTGCTTGGAAATTATCATTATCAAGGGGGATAGGTTTGGAAACTGGCAGTGAGTCTAAAGGATTGTCTAAAGTTTTTGGCAAGTACAAAGCCAAACGTGTAAGATGTGAGAAACTGCTATGTGAAAACATCTAAAGATACCACATGCTGAAAAACATCACTTACCCATTTTCCCATGCAGGACATGTGGTGTTGGAGTACAGACAGGTCTGATGGGAGGGAGGTAAAGGATGGAACCCCATGTGGTCCACAAAAGATCTGTATCAATCAATCCTGCTTAGGTACCACAGTACTCCACTATGACTACAACCTGGTCAAGTGTCATAGGAAGGTTGTTTATAACAATTTTAAGAACTGGCACTTGTCTACAGCTATACCCCTACCACATGAGAATTTAAGGATTAGGAGGCAGTCTAACAGTGGCCCAGCTCCACATATCTCCTCTGACTCTCAGTATCACAAAAAGCTGATAATCCTAATTTGAGTCTTGCATAGCTGCTTATTACTTCTCATTCCTACTATCTTTTTGTTTGCTTACATCCGTAGACAATCTAAGACACTATCAATACAAAAAAAAATCACTGGAACAGCAAAATGAACAAACCTGAAAAACATTTGTTAATTACTTTCTGGTAATAAGGCCAAATATGAAGTGATACTGAAAGGACCTTTTAAGAACTGGAGCTGGACTTCTGGTCAACGCATGAGTGCAGTGGCTCATGCCTGTAATCCCAGCACTTTGGGAGGCCGAGGTGGGTGGATCACCTGAGGTCAGGCGTTTGAGACCAGCCTGACCAACATGGTGAAAAACCGGTCTCTACTAAAATACTACAAAAATTAGCCAGGCGTGGTAGTGGGCGCCTGTAGTCCCAGCTACTCGGGAGGCCAAGGTAGGAGAATTGCTTGAACCCGGGAGGTGGAGGTTGCAGTGAGCCAAGATCACGCCACTGCACTATACCCGGGGTGACAGAGCAAGACTCTGTCTCAAAAAAAAAAAAAAAAATTGGATTTCTTAGTTCTGGTGTCCCTTAGGGACTATGGATATAGGAACTCTTTCGTGCCTCCATCTATTTTTCTATATGCTGACTGCTTATTCGTTTTTAAAATAAAAGAAGTTAATGCAGCTTCCTAGGTGAGGCAGTCTTTTTTGTTTTGTGCTATCCTGAAATCAGGTCTCAGGATCTTTGGGACAATGAGAAGCCTCAAGATATGATCTTGACAGAGTAAGAGCAGGTTACCCTCCATAACTTCCATGAAGTCCATGGTCCAAAACTGAAAGAGCTATCATTGAGCTCCCTGATATTTCTTTCTTTCTTTTTTTGAGATGGTGTTTCACTCTTGTTGCCCAGGTTGGAGTGCAATGGTGCGATCTTGGCTCACCACAACCTCTGCCTCCTGGGTTCAAGCGATTCTCCTGCCTCAGCCTTCTGAGGAGCTGGGATTACAGGCATGTACCACCATACCCAGCTAATTTTGTATTTTTAGTAGAGACAGGGTTTCTCCATGTTGGTCAGGCTGGTCTCAAACACCCAACCTCAGGTGATCCACCCACCTTGGCCTCCCAAAGTGCTGGGATTATAGGTGTGAGTCACTGTGCCCAGCCCCTGACATTTCTATAGAGAGCTCTTTTGGAAAGATCTCTGTAACTTACTTTTCATAACATCCTGTCTAATCTTCCGTTATAATACTCTCAGTCAATTTCCCCAATTTTAAAGATTTTGCCTCAGACATACTAAGATCATTTATCAGGTGAGAAGAAGACCACCTTTGTAATCATCAGATTAGTAGGTCTAGATGTTTTGATTAATTATCATTCCAGTCACCTTGTCCATTTGGCTTTCCCTTTGTCTTGGCATCATACTATATGATGCTCTGGACTCAGGTTGGCCTTGTTCACAACTTAGCTGGAGAGACCAAATATCACTGCTACATGATTCAAGAGGAAGAAACAGATTCCTACCCCTGAATGAAACTCTGCAGTCTTTTTTTTCTTTTCCAAAAAATTTAAATTTTACCTATAAGTCACTTATTTGCTTGTTCACCCATTTATCCTATAAACATGTATTTAGCACTTAACGATTAGGCTGAACGATGTGAAATTGATATTAGACCATTTTCACCTAGAAAAATGGCAAGTTGTTCACATCGTTCAATCTAACTTTATTCATTGATAAATTGAACACAATGAAACCAACCTTGGACTTCTGCTTGTAAATGCAAGTTAACAGTTATTGATTTCTAGATTTTTTTTTAGTTTCTATTTCTCTTAAATCTTATTGTCCCTGTAATGTCAAAAGATTAGCCTTAGTATTTTAGAGTGGCGTGATCCCTATTGTTCAAGTCCTAGAACAGAACTGAACGTAATGAGACTTAGATATGGTGGGTCTAAAGGTCCCACTATCACTTATTTGATAGTAGTTGTCCTTGTTTCTTATTAGTTTCCAAAACTCTTCACAGAATAAAAACCCAGGATTTTTGTGTCCAACTTTAGAGAGAGTAACAGCAATGGCAAGACCTGAGTTAGTTGTTGCATACCCCTACCCTGACTTCCCCTGCAACCATGGAGTAGAAAGCCTTGAAATGACACATATAAATAATAATCTGAAATTTATTTTTTCTAGAAGAGACTTAGACAAATCTAATCTATATCAAGGTAACATGAGTCTATCTCTGAGATGAAAAGTGTCTTCCTCTCCCTGGACAGAGGAGACTTTAAAGATCACTAGTGAATCTGGGAATAACTGGAGAGATACTACCAATTCATTTAGAATGACTACTAACAATAGCACTATATTTCCTTTCAGTTCTGCAGTTCAGAGCATAGTTAGAAAAGATTTAAGATGTCCTTTCCCAAAATTCTTTCCAATCCATTAGTGTAGAATAACTCCAGTTCCTGGATGTTCCAATATTGTAGTTTCAAAGAATGGTGGAAGTACTGGTAGGAAAAGTAAGGGTGGATTCCAGTGACTTTAAGCCCCTGCTATAGAATCTCTTCTGTGAGCATAATAACGGTGTCTGGGTATCTGCATCACGCTGAGCCTCCTGCTTTAGTTGGTGGAATTTGTGCTGTGTCCAGCCATATACTCCACAGTTGAGTAGACCCTGGGATGTTGCCGTTAGAGCCTGGAGGAGATGAAGGGGTGATGCAGCCCATGCTTCAGGTTTTCAGAGATCCAGGGAATAATTCCTACTTCCCTTATTCATAAAGCATTGTTATACTGTCTCTATCTCAAACATAAAGATCTGACATCAGTTTTTAAAATATTTTTTCTAGTTCATCCTGAACTCACTCTCTAAACTACACTATCATGGATGACAGAGAGTTGGTCATATTTCTTAATATATACATAGGAACAATGAAGTAGCTTCAATGCCTCTCCTTATTGCCTCATTTCCCAGAGTAGCCTTGAGAAAACTATCTCATCAGAATAGTCAGTAAAGAAAAAAAAAAGAGAGGATTATTCTATCCCCTCCCCACCATTCACCAAGAATAGTTCATTTATCCCATTCAATTTACTCTGGATGGGAGAGAACCATGTCACTATCAATGTTTCATAAGAACATGCCTGGCAGATCTTATTTTTGCTGTCCATTCCTTAAAAACACATCAGTAAAATAAAATTGACCAGAGATATATATGCTCTGGATGTGTGGCAGTACTTTTACATCATCTACTTCGACTTTGAGAAAATTTTCACATTCTTCATAACTGAGTGTAAATAATACATTTTCTCTTTTGCAATGTAGAAATAAATACTCTGAGGGAAAAAACTGTGCTTATCGAGTAAAGGTAATATGAGAAAATAGGATGAGGGTGTAAGAACAGAGATAATGAATGTTGAAGGTGTTACCTGGAGAACATAAAGAGCCATGTGAAGCTTGGTGTCCTGTGGCTTAGTCAGCTTTATGATCATCAGAATGACAGCTGTAAATACACAAAGTGTAGACCTTCTTGTCAGTCCTGACTGCCTGAAGTATCAGGTTCCTCCATACACATGCCTGAGCATTATCAGCATGGAAACAACAGGCATAATAAAATCCATCAGTGAGGTTAACCTGTTATGCGAACCAATGGGTCTTAGGCCTCCAACTTCTAGTCTTTAATAATAAAACTTTGTAGATTATAGTGTAGTAATGGATATACTATAAGAAGGTAATAATTTACACTTCCTATCAATTCAGATTTTCCCAAGCTTTTTCATAAAAATTATCCAATCTGGCCAGGCGTAATCCCAGCACTTTGGGAGGCCAAGGCGGGCGGATCACCTGAAGTCAGGAGTTTGAGACCAGCCTGGCCAACCTGGCAGAAACCCCCTCTCTACTAAAAATGCAAAAATTAGGCTGGGTGTGGTGGCTCACGCCAATAATCCCAGCACTTTGGGAGGACGAGGAGGGTGGATCACAGGTCAGGAGTTCTAGACCAGCCTGGTCAATACGGTGAAACCCTGTCTCTACTATAATTTTGTAAAAAATACAAAAATTAGCCAGGCATGGTGGCTACTCAGGAGGCTGAGGCAGGAGAATCTCTGGAACCCAGGAAGTGGAAATTGCAGTGAGCCGAGATCATGTTACTGCACTCCATCCTGGTGACAGAGTGAGATTCTGTCTTAAAAAAAAAAAAATACATACACACACACACACACGAAGAAAACAAAATTAGCCAAGCATGGTGGCATGTGCCTGTAATCTCAGCTACTTGGGAGGCTGAGGCAGGAGAACTGCTTGAACCTGGGAGGTGGAGGTTGTAGTGAGCCAAGATTGCAAAACTGCACTCCAGCCTGGGCAATAAAGTGAGACTCTGTCTCAAAAAAAAAAAAAAAAATTATCCAATCTGATCCTCACTATAACCTTATATAGTAGGAGGTGCAGGTGTTAGTATCTCCAAGTCTCTCACGATATTTCTTCCTTTTATATCATTGTGCATCTCATGTTTAATTCTCTTAATTTCTAAAACATAAGAAGCAAAAGGAGTTAAGGAGGTTGGTAAAAACTGGAAATATGGATAGGGACCATGCAAATTTTACAAGCAGAATAGGAATTTGCAGCCATCCTTCTTGGTGAGACCACTTTGATTGATCAGAATCTAATAACTGCCCTCTTCACTGCCCATCTTTTCTCATTAAGATACCTACCTGGGCCCCAGCAGCAAAAGAAGGCCACTGGGTAGAAGCGCACTCTCTGGTCCATAATGTGAATCACTGCCCACTGTTCACTCCCCAGAAAGCCAGATGACTTCACAAACTTCTTATACAATGTCTGGGCTTGGATAAGTAAGACCTAAACATAAGTATAGCAGTGAGCAGTTAATTTAAAGCTTAATAAAATGCCCCAGGTCTATCTTCCTATCATTTTAAAAAGATTATTCTCTTAGAATCTCACAACAGGAATGACCCCATTCTCTTATTTTTACTTTCTGAGATCAGGCTTTTTCTGAGAAAAAATTACCTTAAGAGTAAACTTGGCCAGGCATGGTAGCTCACGCCTGTAATCTCAGCACTTTGGGAGGCTGAGGTGAGCAGATCACGAGGTCAGGAGTTTGAGACCAGCCTGACCAACATGGTGAAACCCTGTCTCTACCAAAAAATACAAAAATTAGCTAGGCATGGTGGCTCATGCCTGTAATCCCAGCTACTTGGGAGGCTGAGGTAGGAAAATTGCTTGAACTGGGATGCGGGAGGTGGAGGTTACAGTGAGCAGTGATAGCGCCATTGCACTCCAGCCTGGGACACAGACAGAGCAAGACCCCATCTCAAAAATAAAAAAAAAAAATACAAAAATTAGCCAGGCATGGTGGCAAGTGCCTGTAATCCCAACTACTCAGGAGGCTGAGGCAAAAGAATCACTTGAACCCGGGAGGGGAAGGTTGTTTTTTCTACTTTCAGCTGTCTGAATAAGGTTTAGCTCATGAAACAAATATAAATCGGTTCAAAATTCCAATGCGGTTTTTTTGCAGAAAATAAATTAGATAACACTCGTGGTAACAAATCTGACTCTTTTTCTCTAATCCAGATCTACTCTCTAAGTTAATAACCTCATTACTTAATCAAGTTCAGCCATGTACACAGTCTTCTTTCCCTACATAAGCATCAAAAGGAGACGAGTTTGAGAATACTTACGCCTAAAAGAATCAGTTCACCATCTGCTGATTTTTAAATAATCTAGAATGCTAATTCTGAGTATTACACTGAAACCTGGGCTATTCTAAAGAAGCAATCAGGAATCTGCAGGGTGCCAAGGTCTGGGACCTGTTTCTCTTGGTAGTTCCAAATATAAACCATCAAACCCATTTTGATATGAACTAGTCATTGTGTACTGTTTGCAAAGCTGCTGATTTGAACTGAGCCATCTTGTTCGTGTGTGTTTAAGAGAATTTTTTTATTTTTGAGACAGAGTCTCCTTTGTTGCCCGGGCTGGAGTGGTGCAATCTCAGCTCACTGCAATCTCCATCTCCTGGGTTCAAGCGATTCTCATGCCTCAGCCTCTTGAGTAGCTGGGACTGTATGTGTGTGCCACTATGCCTGGCTAATTTTTGTATTTTTAGTAGAAATGGGGTTTCACCATGTTGGCCAGACTGGTTTCGAATTCCTGGCCTCAAGTGATCTGCCCGCTTTGGCCTCCCAAAGTGCTGGGATTACAGGTGCAAACCACTGTGCCCAGCCAAACTCCATCTCTATAACTTATGTCTGAGTTGTCAAAGGAAATTCCCCATTACTCTATCTGGTACACAAGTATTAGTGGGATACATTTGATCTGCAAGTAGATACCTTATAATTCTTGAACTGGAATATGAAAAGAGGAGAAAACGATACTGAAAAATAGATATGGCAAATACAAATGGATATTTGCTCATTTACTGCTTTTGCATGAGGCAGTTACGTAACTTACTATCCTCTGGCTAATTATTATAATTGTACATCATCCTGATGATATCAAATGAGTATTTGATAACTTCATGAGCCACTTAGCACTTTAGCCCCAGTTAGACATAGCATAAATACAAATTTATGGCCAAATGAAGAGTTTAAAAAAGAAAATTATTTTATTATTTGGAAAATTAAATCGAAGCATATGTTCTATATTCCAGAGTGTCATCCTGTCTATATAAAGAATATATGTTATGCCCTAAGTGCATGCAGAAAAAAAAAAAAAAGAACAACAACAAAAAAAGAATATATGTGACACATAAGAGTTTTCTGGCCAGAGGGGATTGATGAAGCCTATATTAGTTGTAGAGCGGGCATATTTTCACCTAATGAATACAAGCTCTTTTCTTTCTCTCCTCATCTGATTTAGAGAAGTCCAAAAATCTGTGGCAGTGATTATATGTCGAGATCTCCTAGCTACTTTTTTAGTTCTAGAACAACAAGAAGTGCCTCTCTGCCCCATCTTTCCCAGGTCCTGGGAATATTGGCCCATTCCCCCCTCACTTCCCCTTCTCTCCACAAAGGAAGGTAGGGTGGTACCATACCATAATCGTAAGGAGGCTGAGTACAAAGCTGCCCAGGAAAATGGTGATACCATAAAAATAAAGTATGCCACAGACAGATGTGTTGGAAGAAGGTAGGAGTTCAGCCATGGATGATGGTGGTGAGTGCATCAGGATACACCTAGGAAGAAAATTAACAAACAGGAGTACTACTACAGATGTAAAAAAAAAAAAAAAAAAGCTGCTCACCAAGAGTTAATAAGCATGTCATTTTACTTATCATTTTGCTAACTCTTGCCTATAATACCTTGTCACTCTCCCATAGACACATTATCTTGCCATTTTGTGTTACACTTTTACTTTTGTATTTTTACCCTTTACTACATCTTGTTCCGTAGCCCATTTCTAATATAAGCACTTTGGTCAGAATGTATGTAGAAAGTCTTTTTCCAGCTCTTATTTATAGAAACAAATAGGTATAGTCTGCCATGAAAATCATACATTTAGTTCTTACTTACTTGTGGCTCTGGCTGAAGTTTTGGAAACATTCACTAGTATTGCCCAGACAGAATACAGGTGTCATCAATAGCAGAGGTATCAGGCTGGGAGGGGAAAAAAGTATCACCCTAATATCCAGTCTTTTTCATGCCCTTCCTCCTTTGCAGAATATTCTCCTGCTCTTCCCTCAATTATATTATCCCACCAATCGCCACAAATAACACATTTTATTTCTTCAAGAAAAATACCTCAAATACCTTTGGTATTCCTTCTTTTCCAGGTCCTAGGGAAGTACAATGCAGTGGGGAATTAATTTTATACCTAGATTAGTGAATCCTACCATACAGATAATCTCTGGGAGCTGTATGGTCAGATAAAAATCCAAGTGGGTCAAAGTGAAAGGAAAATCTGCGAAGGAGTTCTGTGTGCAGTCTGTTTTACTTTCTGTGCTGACCAGGAATAATCTCATTCTCATCGGCCCCTTCTTGGGAGCTTTTCCAAAGCTTAGCTTTAAATAGCCAGCTCTTTATCCAACTAAATACAACCAGCTCCCTGTAAGAGGAAAAGATCCAGGAACAAAAGTCACAAAAGTCTAAAACCAACTCTGATATGGCCACCACTTTAGGTGAGATCCAAACCATTTCTGGACTCTATAATCCTAACACTCTTACCCAATGTTATAAAGTAGATGAGATCCTGAAGGTTGTCTATTACAACTCTTTATGATATAGAAAAAAGAGTAAGTGATCCAAAGACCAAAGAAATTTTGTTCAAGGTCACACAGAATTGATGGCAGAATTGGAGCTAACACCCAAATCTATAACATCAACTACTTTTCTATTCAATGTGGAAAAATGGAACCAATTAACATATATTTGTTGCTTCTAAGTTAGGCTCTGTGAGGACTTAGGAGTGACAACGGAAATAAAGGGCATTGTCCTATTTGTTCCCATCTGAACACCAGGATAATGAGAGTCTACACCTTGCTAAGAAGTAAAGAAAAAAATCTTACCTTGAGAAAATGAGGGCCATTTGACCAACTCGACAAGTATAATCTATCACCTGTGAAAAGAATAAATGTGAGAAATGTCTTAAGACATTATCAATCATATAATAATATATACCAAGTCAGTTAACACTCTAGAACAAAAAGATTTCCAAAAGCCAGCTTTTTCCTGTCAAGCAATATTTGCTATAAAATTCATCTAATAGATAGAGTAGTTCCTTATTAGCACTGTATATAATAGAATTTTATCTCTATTACTACATTCTAAAAAGTACAACAATACAAAAAACCCACAAAGAAAGCCTGCAGGAAGTAGCCTAATATGGAATTTGGGTACTCAAACCAATTCTCTTAAGAATAAAGGCATAGGCCAGGCATGGTGGCTCACACCTGTAATCCCAGCACTTTGGGAGGCCGAGGCGAGTGGATCATGAGGTCAAGAGATTGAGACCATCCTGGACAACATGGTGAAACCCTGTCTCTACCAAAAAATACAAAAACTAGCTGGGCATGGTGGTGCGCGCCTGTAGTCCCAGCTACTTGGGAGGCTGAGGCAGGAGAATTGTTTGAACCTGGGAGGGGGAGGTTGCAGTGAGCTGAGATCGCACCACTGCACTCCAGCCTGGC